TAAATCACTTAAATAAATAAATACTCACTGTGTAGACTGTTGGAGAAAGACACTTGCTCTGTTCATTTTTGCACTGCTTTTTACTAACAATGTGGTGGGACTTATAGAAAAACAAAGGAAGGATATAAATCTAATAAATAAATATGACCCATATACGTACATTGCAGTATAATTATCCATGGATGCAGTCATCAGGAGTTGAACTTAGAGGGAGCTTTTATTCTACTTATTTCAAAGACCACAAAAAGATGAGGGTTATCTGAGCTGTCATTTACGTAATTCTCATTAGCATATCAAACAATACCTCAGAAGTTCCGTTTTAGGGATAACGTAACGAGAGCTTCCAACAAAGGAGCTGCGTTATGTTTGATCATGGACATGCACTTTCTAGTCACAAACAAGGGAACAAACAAAAAGAATTTGTAGGTGGGGTTAAATGTGCTATTAATTCTGAATGTTTGAGCATATGATCCAAACATTTTTTTATGGCATATTTTATCCATCCTTGGAGCACTTCACTTTTGCATGATGTATTTATTGCTCTCAACCACGTTATAGTTATCTGTTAAAATGATTTTGGCTGCAATCACAAACACACTTCTGAGCACTTCTCACTAATCTCAGCGGGACTTGATTTCAAGTAAACATTAATAGGATTGGATCCAAATATAATAAAATACCCTGTTTTATTATATTTGAATTACAAGCAATATGTAAAATGGAATGAGGAGAGGAACCATATTATAATGAAGAACTACAATCAACTTCGTGGCGTGCAAGAACCTATGAAGTGTTGAAAATAATTTAGCTTTATATTTGTTTTGAAAATATCAATTTGGCTTGACCCCATTTCCCCTGTAGTTTACTTTGTAAGATTATTTTCTGAGATGGAGAACACATGCAACAAACACTAACCTTTGGCAGCTTTCTTCTGCCACGGTGTTTTGCTTGAAAACAAGAGCAACCCCAGTTGTCTTTAAATTATTTTATTCTGCTCTACAGTTCAGTTTTACTTTTCAAGTCACAAGCAGCTGGATATTATTTTTCTTCAGAATATGCATGCTTTTCACTTCAGTCAAATGCAAATACATGCCCTGTTCTGCACGCTCCATTTCACCTTTTAATAAAATAGCAATCACTTGAAATATACAGAAATATATTTTTATATAAATTTTCCATAAAAAATAATAGATATTTATTTATAAAAGGCACCATACCACAAAGTAACATTTTCTTCTTGGATCAGACACATACTTCTACTAGCAAGGATTTCAAAATTGAAGTGCTTTTCTTTCTATCACTCTTGCCAGGTATTAAAGTAATCAAACGCACCAAATCCTTCACTTTAACTAGTCACATAAACTGAACATATTATGTGGCAATAAAAATGACATTATTAACAAGCAGTTTCTCTACAAAAGAATAGCAATAGGGCAAGTATAAGCAGCTGGTAGTTATGTTATAGAGTATTAAGTCTTCTGCAAACTAATTCGCAAGACACAAACACAGCTCATCACAATGTGCTGGATCTTTTTACATACTTCAACACTACATTCTTGAGGTGATAACATGTTTGTCACTGTTTCCTTTGCCTAGGAGCTGGCCTCTTGAATCACTGCTATTTTCCATGTTGCCAAAGTTTTAAAGAATGAGAAACATGTACACAGTTAACTGGGAGAAATCCCACCAGTAAAGCTGATTTTAAAAAGCTGAGAGGAAAACAATAGATACTCTCTATCGGACATCATCCATATAGAACATAAAATAGTGGCAATTTATTATGCAGAACAGATTATAATCCTTCTTTTTTCCCAGGTTTAACGTGTTATGCTTTTAAATCTCAGTTATATTAGTTATGGTGCTAAGTTTGCATGAAAATTTTTGGTGGCAAGATTAAATTTGAATTAAGGCATTTTTGTCAAAAGATAAAACTCATTCCAAGTACGTCATAAACAAACAAACAGAAAAATATATCAGATAATAGCTGCAGCTTATAAGCACTGTAAAGAATATTTCAGAATTGTTTATAATGTCTAGGCTCACAGGGTAAAATTCCAAAATTGATGAAAACACAGATAGGAAATATTTTGTGAACATTCATTTTACCTTGACTATTCCATATTTATAAACTTTTAAAAATAAAGTAAGTAAACTTCTCCAGCAATGTGTGACCATTTCCCCTACCAATAAAAAGTACAAAATGAATATATCCCAAATCATGGTCAAGGTCTTCTTAGCATCAATGCCATATAGACTGTTTCTTTGTCTAAGTTATGTTTTCTTTTTCCCAATCACCATTGCCAATTAAATTTAATGCTCAACTCAGTCCTACTCTGAGTGCAGTGCCTTCCTCTAGATGCTGGCTGGGGAATTCTGGGACTGGAAGTCCACACAACTTCAAGTTGCCAAGGTGGAGAAACACTGCTCTGGAGTTTCTACTGGAACACTGCTATAGAGAATGGGATGTCTTCTTTAGTCCTGCCACATTAAGGGCAGGAGGCTGCTTATTCCTCGTACCACCTTAGAACCATTCTAAGGCAAGCAGAGGAAAAAAATGGGTTTTGCTATGTTTTCTAAAGAACCCTATGCACACAAATGCTATACTAGGAAAATAATGGACTAAGCCCTAATTGTGCAAAACCTTTCTTTTGCATTTGATTAATAGAGCAACTAACTTTGATGCAGAAAAAACAAAGAATGAGGAATGGGTACAAAATACATCTGAGAATTTGTCAGCCCTTCGAGGTAGACCACTAGAAAACCAAAGTTATGAACGCTTACACTACTTTTATTGTAAAGTTACAGTAACAGAGTCTAAATATGCTTCCTACCTCCTTCCTTCCCTCCATCTTCATGAGAATTAGGGAGGGTGAAGTCTGAGATGCTTTCTCAAATTACATTTCTGTCTTAGCCTCAAATTTCTTTTATCTGACTGTTGTCTTGGTTGCAGCTCTTCCTCCTGTTCCTCAAAGTTATTCCTACTGCCCGTTACAGAATTACATTAATTTATACATTTTTAGTCTATATTGGTATGCATACGTGCCTAAAAGTATGTGAAGATAATTGCCTGGGACCTCAGGCAAGTACGATAAATAGACAATTGAGCCAGGATTCTTCTGCCCTACCTGACTTTGCACCTTGCTCTACCACAACCAACAGCATGCAAAAGGGTAAATACCTGCCAAAAAATTAAAGCATGAAAACGTAATGGATTTGGAATTTTATGCATGTAAAATGTATGTAAAAGGTAATATGTATAGGAATTATTTCCCCCTGAACCATAAAAGCAGCAAGCCTAACATAAAGTGATACTTCAAAAAGCTCAGTTCTAAAGTTGTATCATGTGTTCGTTAAAAACTAAAATTGAGTATCAGAACATTGGCCCCCTAGCTCACACTTCCTAAGATTGTGTAATAAATTTGCATTTTAGCTACAGTGCCTTTTGTAGTTTTGTTTTCTTTTTGCAAAGTATGGGGAGATTATGAACAAAAACTTTGATTCATTTCCAACTAAGAATTAAAAACAAGTTCTACGATAAAGTTCAGGGATCTACCCTTAGCTATACCCCAGATTTTGTACAGGTTATTCGTTTAGGTTATTTTCTATACTTCATGATAGCGAATTCCTGGGTCAAAATCATTTGCAATATGAATTATGATGAAGGACAGACAACCTGTACTGTTCTTTTTAAAGGAGTACAGTGCAGCATGCTACTGGGCCATATGCAACATTTTAAAATTTCACTACTCTTTGTCTCATTGGATAGCATTCTGACATAGAACTTCAATTAAATAGATTTTGCTATTTAATACTTTATGCTTGGACCTAAAAGAAATCCTGAAGTCAATCTGGACTCCTGGTGACATGTTAACATAGCTATGCATTTTTTGGCAGGGAGGGCACAAAGTGTGCAAAAGTAGTTACCACAGTTGTCTTCTGGGGGTTTTAAAAACTTCCCAGCGTAGCCTACCGCTCTGGAAACCTTTGATGGTCTCTCATCAATAGTTAACTATACCCAGCCCTGCTTAGTTTCAGAGGCAATTCTTGACACCTGCTGAGACATAGCAGTTGCTGTTCTTCTATAAAGCAGAAGTCACTGTAGAACAAAACTGTTATGTAATACCCCAGCACAAAATATTTCTTTCATTACCCTTGATACAAAGCACAATGCTTTCAGCTAAAATGGCTTGTATTTTTTAAAATTGTCATTAACTTATAGTTCACTGTCATGAGTAATGACATATTCCCATCTGTATTGTTACTCTGAAGAAATCAGAATTTGTTTTCTGATTAGCTCTACACAATTTACAATGACATACTGTTATGGCTTTATTGTTAAATGTTTTTAAAGTTGAGAACAGATTTTTAAAGTTGTGGAAATGTATCATTCCCCAACTTTATTTTTTTTAATACTTCGAGCAGATCTGTAGTTTTTTAAATATTTGCACTATTTTGTCCTTTCCCAAACAGACACCTTCACAAAGACTAGAGTAAAATACATATACTTAGGTGTTAAACCTGCAAACAATATGAGTACTAAGCCAAACACAAGAATAAATAAGTGATCTGATTAAAGTGTATAAGACCTTCATTTTTTCTTTTCAATCTTCTGTACAGATATGGGCTGAGTATACTGGGAAGGTGACATACCTGTATGCCACGTGCCTCAATGACAATAAGTGTTCTAAAAAGTTCATTTGTCTATTAGGAAGCTTCCACACTGTATCTTATATACACAGGTTAATCACTTATCATATTCTTTGTTTGCTTCGTATTGGTACACCTTCTGTACACAATTACAGTTTCCAATCTCTATTAGATATTAGATGCATCTTTTCTAAACTTTAACACAATTGAAGAGGTAAATGTGAAAGAAAACTACATAAAGAACATAAGCTCATATGAATAATGTATAAGGGCAGGATTTCATATAGATGGCATATCTTTATTCAGATGAAGATGAGTTATATTCATCCCCCTTCTCATTGAAGGAACAAAAGGTTTCACCACATGATTGTGAGTAGCATAGTGTTGTACCACCGGACTGTTGGCTGCTTGAGGGCCACAACTGTCCTGCTGCTAAGGCTGCTTCAGCATCCAGACATAGTTCTGAATTTTCACTATTAAAAAACAAAAGAATCAGCTTATTAGGGAACAGTGTTCTCCATTTTATAGCTTATAAATATCAAAAAATTACATCCCACTAAACTCTATCATGACCAGCTTGATTCACGCATGCATGTTCATCACCTCTCAGCAAAAAGGACTGAATCCATATGGCATGTGTGATTAAGGCATTACTAGATTTAAAGACAGAATTTTCAAATGATTTATAATCACATCAACTTATGAACTAAGGAAAAAATGACCATCATGCACTGTCCATATGCAATATATGTATTTTACCTTGACTTAAAAATAGTTGTTATAGACACAGTGTCCCCAGTTGTCATCAAGGTGGAACCTGATTTAACAGAATTTAACACTAGTTCCTGGTTCAGCCAATACATCCCTGTAGACATATCTAAAAGAAATAACAGAGTAAATTACAATCCAACATGCTGTATGTAAGTTATGGAGTACAAATACAAAAACAGATTATTTTTCTGTTCATATTCCCCCTCCTCAATTCACCAATCTATATGTCTGAAATCCTGAAAAAAAACCAACTCAGCTTTTACTTTATGTTACAGTTAAGAAGCATGCTCTGTCAATCTTTGAAGCTAGATTTATGGTACTTATCTCTCCTCCAAATGCAAAATATGTATGACATTTGCTACACTATGGGAAGGAATTATATCATATTTCCCATTGAAAGCATAAAACACACAATATAAACTCAATTTTTCTAATTTGTGTAAAATTAGATATGGGACTGTCAAGTTTTATTCTATTATATCTCATCAATTACTGAAACTAGCCAAAAGCATACTTTTAATTAAACATTGGAATGGTAGAAAAATAATAGCACAACTCTTAAAATCTTACAAAGATTAAGATTTAACTCTTTGTATTTAGAAATAAGGATAACTGAACTATTGCAGTTGGATATCATGTTGCATAAATTCAGTATTTTATTTCAACATGGTGTTCTAGAATCTGGAAAGGCAGAGAAAATACTGACATAAAGGTGGGATATGGATGGAGATATATTGAAGTTACAAAAAGTGTAACTTCAATAGCTCAGCTGAGACCAGATTTCTCCACATCTCTCTTATTCACATGCCACACCCTTTTTTCTATCTCTTTGAGGAGAGTCAGAATCAAACAACTTTTTCATATACCCTCTTTTATTTGTTAAATATGACTGTATCTATATATTTAGCAGCAAAAGTGTTTTTTAGCTTAACTTTTTTATAACATGTTATAAAAGTTTCTATTGAGCAGGCATGGTAAAATGTTTGTCTGCTTCGGTTACATGAAACTAGATTCTTACCAGAGAGTTTTTGCAATGAGGATTATCTACTATCTCTAGTTTCCTGGTTCTTTCCACAATTGGTACGTTAGATTCCAAAACTAATCATCATATAGGATTTTGAATAAAGAATTGCAGCAAACTCTCTGACAAGCTGTATAGATTTTTCACGGAACTGTTAAAATATGCAGACAGATCCCTCTTCCTAATTAGCAGGATGACAGGAAGAATTACTGATGAGGGCATTTGGAATAATAGCCAATTTAAATATCATGGTTTATGAGTTCTAAGTCTCCAATTTCAGAAAATTCAAAGTACCAATTAGTTATATAATCTGCCAGTTTTTATAAATCACTCAATACTTCCATCCTCATGCAATCTGACATCATTAGAAATATTGCTCTAACATGAGGCTTTGTATTTAATCTGCAAATGCACAAAAATGTTATCTTACCTGTAACATAGTTTTCTAAAGCTTTTGGCACTAGTGATTTAGCAGTTTTTAAGTCTTCTGATGAGCATTTGCCTGCCTCTAGGCCAAGTGACATTCCCATTCGTTTCAATACTTCAGTATCATCATGGATTTCAAAAGCATCATCAAAATTGAAAAGGTATTCAAATCTGTAAGAGAGAAAAAGTGGTAGAGGTTACTTCCTACAGAAGTTTAACTGCATTTTCTAAAATAAATGTTAATAGGTATTCAAATACAATTACATTCACTTGGTTACTTCATAACTCAAAGATGTATTTAAAACATAACTAGGTTCAGCAAAAGCTATGCATGCATTTGTGCAACTGCCATCTCAGCAGGTTCAAATGCTACTTTCCAATTAAAACACATTTTTCATACAAGGCAATAGGAGTTTATAAGCTTTTCTCCCTCATTAAACAAGTTTGAAATTGAGCAAAAAAAAAAAAAATCTTGGTTAGGCCAGAACTTTTCTTGAACTAAATCCAAGGGATTTAAATGTCAGCAGCAAAATACAATATATTCCCTCCTCCTTTCATCTTCGTGATGAAAACAGCATTTAGGATTGATAGTTCTTAATTGCTTTAAGAAAATCTGTTCTTGAAAAAGTATTTTTATTAGCACTTTATTAAAATATTACAACACTATAAAACATTACTATATTTTTAGTATAATTGAAGATGACTATGCTCTAGCTTTTCCAGTTTTCTTTTGCTTTTAGATTTAATTTGATGTAAACACAGTATAACAAACACTGAAAAGTGTTAAAACATACTGGGAATGTTACCAAACTATTTTCATACAAAGAAGAAAATAAAATGATGGAGCAAAAATAATCACGTTAAGGAAGATGTCCTTAAGATAATAGAGATGGATTCTACAAGTTGTAAATCCTAAACCCAGGATATAATTCCATTAGGGGAAAACTACACATATTCTTTTGCAGAGAGGTTACAAAAACTTCTTTGAAAGGCAACAAATCAAACCAACATAATATACAGTCAAGCTTCCAATTAATGACTAGGCACATTATCTGTAGTTTATCAAAATAATATTAATTTTGTAAAAACAACCCAGTATCTGAAACAGCCCATAACATTGGGCTGATTTTGGCATTTAACATCTTATTGGTGGCTGATCTTAGTAGCCAAAATACCATTCATCAATAAAGAGCCCTGCAGTTCTTTGGAAGAGTGGGGACACTTATTCACATTAGGCTGGAATATATTTTGGATGAAGGAAATTTCTCATCAATCCCAAAAACATACTAGCCAAACATACAAGAGTAACCCCAGCCTTCTAGGCTGCTGGAGAAGGACCAACATTGTGGCAAGTTGAGAGGCACTCAATAGTGGCAAGAATTTGTTGCTGATTTTGAGTTCCTTCAAATCTTTACTTGATTACTTTACTTAGCAAAGAAGTAAGATCATTTGCTAACCTTCTATTGGACTAGAACATACCAGAAATTGAGAAAAGAAACTATTTTCTCCTGACTCAGCACAAAGTAGTTTTCTGTTCAAGTCTCCCCATATTTTCAAAATACAATTATAGTGGAAGATGCAAATGAGCAGGAGTTCAATTATATCAGTAGATTGTTTTAGAAGATCTATTATTCTAGTCAGCCATGTATACTAAATTGCAGATGACATTATGCAGATGTAGTCAGTGATATCTAAAATGGAAAATTCTACATGGACAAACTTAAATTCAAAATTTTGATTATCTTCCAATAGAAAATATTATTTCACATAAATTAATAAATCTCAACCCTTGTTGAGTGGTACAAACAATGATAAGGTCCCTGAAGATACATACAGAATTGCTGCATAGAATACAATAGACATATATCATTGTGACATACAGTTTAGTAATGGCAAAACTTTCATGCTTTGTATTCAATATGGTCATTAAAGTTTGTGATATTTTATACCTGCTTGCCATATTTCAATGCAGTAGAAATGCAAAAACATTAATTAAAAGCCATCATATTTCCGTAGAAACCTGAAAATTGATAAATTAATTGACTCAAAATATACTGCCATAGCAAACAGCATCACGGCTTTAATTGACAATCATATATATGGCAGAGCAAATTCAGGCATCTACTGCACTGACCAAGGATTTCAATCATCTAGTGTTGTATGTGGATTCATTTCAAAGCCAGTAGTCAACTAAATCCTCAACTAATTAAATAACATCTTGGGACGGCTTGTTAAGAGTGTCTCTCTGAAGAGAGAGAGAGAGATGTGGATAAGATGACAGGCCTTTGCTGTGATGGCAGCCACACTTTGGACGTCTGAAGAGGTCCATAAAACTCTCTCCCTCATGGTTTTAGGATGATACTTAAAGACAATTTTGTTTCACCAGTTTCAACCATAGCTAAGTTTTATTGATCTACTATTGCTGATTATTACTGTTGCTTTTTTTGTATATAATTTTGATATATTTTATTATTTTGATTTAATCTACTTATAGTTTTAACTTTCATCCTGCCCAGAGCCTTTTGAGTTGGGTGGGTTATAAAAGCAGTACAATAAATAAAATAAAGTTATAAAATGTGAACACTCATGTCAATTTGTAGAGAAACTTTTATTCTCCAAATCAGAGCTTTTATAGATACTAGTACAGATGCTAGAAAAATCTTCTTGCTCTTTATTTACTGTGGATTTATATTAAAGTTGAGGTAGAACTAGGAATTGTTCACCTTATTATATTGTATTAGGAAATATCTTACACTGATTATTATATTGTATTATTGTCATGTTGGATTAAATTGCATATAATTTTGATTTAACTGTACTGCATCTAGCTGTAAGTGTATACCCTAAATAAAATTATTACTACTACTACCACTAAAAGAAATAAATAGAATTATTTAAAGCTTCAATCATAATACAACATACTCAGTCTGCTGAACAGCAACATCTATAGCTAAAGTTAGATATGCATGGTAATGTCTTTCAATTACCATATTTATCGGTGTATACCACACCTTAAAAGTTGGGGCTGGAATCCTAGCTGCGTGTTATATGCCAATACTCAAGCGGCAGGGCTGGGAGAATGGAGCCTTCATTTGAGCCAGGGCTGTAACCAGGGCAGCTCCAGAGGTGAGAGGCGGGCGAGCGAGCGAAAACCGGTGCTCCCCAGCGCTCGCACAAGAGAAAACCAGCGCTGCCCATCTCACGCGAATGAAAACCAGTGCTCCCCAGCACTTGCGTGTTTTCCCATTGCGTGAGCGCTGGGGAGCGCCGGTTTTCGCTCATGGGAGATGGGGAGTGGCACCACATTCACCTCCTGCTCTGCGGAGCTCAGGCACTCATGTGAGCGATGGGGAGCGCCAGTTTTCTTCCTTCAAAGAGGGGCTTTTTCTTTCATATTACGTATTTACCTTATAAGTGGTATAAATATTAAACAAAAAGTTCAGAGCTT